AAAGGTTATGGTGTTATATACGCACCACCACCTGATCAGTTGGTATACGTTGATGATTTTCCCACAGCAGCTGAGATGATATGATGGGATGCCCTCAGAGGCTTGATGATGTTATGAACGCATATACCTATGCATGGTATGACATTTATACGCATATGCATAACATTATAATATTAAATGATTCACAGAGCTATTCAGACTTACATGTCGAGTCTTTTACTTCATGTTTCTCTCATGTCTATTATTTACTGATTTTCATTCCTTACATACCCGTTAGACAGGATGAGAGTCCTCCAAGTAGGCTATCAGCTCAGCGGAAGGTGTTGGTGCGCTCCATTTGCTCCGGAGTTGCTATTTGGTCAGTATGATTAGAACATGTGTTGATTGGTATGCCGGGGCTCTGTCCCGACCTTTATGATGTTATGTACTCTTAGAGGCTTGTAGACATGTGTCATATATATGAAAGATTGTATGGCCTTGTCCGCCTATGTTCTGTGTAAGAGTGCTCATTTTGGCCTTATAGGCCCGTATGTCTTAAGTATAAGTTGGTATTTCATGTTGTATTCTACTTATCTCATGGCAGCCTCTCCGGCTCAGTTATCTATGATAGTATGATATGAAAAGATACGTTATGTTGGTACTCAGTTGAGTAAGGTACCGGGTGCCCGTCGCGGCCCATCAGTTTGGGTCGTGACATTATGAGTTGGAGTGGCCACCAGAATTAGCGGTTGTACACCCAGTACTTCACGTGTCATATTATGACAGTCAAGTTTCTAGTACTCAGATACTCATGTCAAATTAGTACTCAGATACTCATGTCAGTTCAATACTCAAATACTCATGTCAGTCTAGTACTCAAATATTCATGCCAGCTTAGTACTCAGATATTGATGTCAGTTCAGTACTCAAATATTCGTGTCAGTTTAATAGTCATATATCCATGTTAGTTCAGTATTCACGTATCTATGGCAGACCAGTATTCACGTATATATTTTATGTTATGCGCATTATGATGCCCTGTAAGGCTTGTGTTATGCTATGATAGTTGGTTGGTGTTTTGGAGAAATGTTAAAGGTAACTAACCTTTTCATTCAGACCTTATATTATAATCTCCATGTCCTTCAGTATTCAGTCAGCTCAGTATTAAGCCAAGGTAGTTGTCATTCAGTTTAGTAATCATATATTCATTCAGTTTAGTATGCAAGTGTTCATGAAAGTACATGTTTCCACCAGACCCGTTTAAGGTCCAGTGCTACCCGTAGTTACAGTCAGGACAATCATTCGAGGACGAATAGTCCCAAGGGGGAGATAATGTAACACTCCATAAATTCGGACTAGGTGTGGATATGTTAAATGAGTATTAATGTTATATTTTAGACATATGAAGTCCTATCGGGATGAGTATGGGTGGAAATAGTCGTTTGGAATCAAGACGGAGAGTGAGGTGCATAAGATTCGATAAAATCGACCAACTTTATGGAATGTCTATCTTTCAGCCTGCTTTCATGGAATTATTTTAGGAATTGGAGAAATCTCAAAACATGAAAGTTGTAGACCTTTGAAATATCTTTCCAACGATATATTGTGAAGCCCGAACGTATCTCTGTGAAAAATATTATGTGCATTTTACTAGATAATGTGCAGTATGAGCGACCGGGTGCGCGCTCAGGTGCACGGTAGCGCACCCGGGAGGTCATTTTAAAAGCCCTACTTCGTCCCCTACACCCCAAAACACAAAAACTTGCTCTAGAAAGGGAAGCTCTCAAGAACCTAACTCCTCAAAGGTCCCTCCACCATCCAAGGTAAGTTTTAGTGGTGATCCTAAGTTTATTTCAATTCTCCAACACCTTATTAACATGGGTAAACCCTTCAAATCATTAGATATTCGATTGGGATATCAGTTTTGAGAGACGAAACCCTAGAAGTCGAATTCAAGAGGATTGAACGTCAAAAAGGTAATATCTTCACCCTCTACTTGATTATAGTATTGGATTAATGATTATAGACTCTAGTTCATGATATATGAGTTGATGGGTTTGATAGAAAAACATGAACGGTTATGGATTTGAGTTGTTGATTATTGATTACTGGTTAAGGGTGTTGTTTATCTTATGGGTGATGAAGAATGATATTGATTAGAAATTTGAGATTTTAGAATTTATCTACGAGCAAGAGAATAGGTTGTTGGGTGTAGAAACACCTATGAAGTTTTATACCCACCAAGTGTTCGATAAAATGCCTAAGTGACCAAAACATGAGTATTATTGCTAATATGGAATCCCTTTGACTTGTATTGATATAGATTAAAGTTGAAAGGGTTGGCGAATGTATTACGCTCAAGAGCAGGAAGTTAAGGTATGTGAGGCTAACTCTCTATGTTTGGAAATGTTAATGATTTTTCCTACACTACGTTTCTTTTACAACGTTACTAATTGTCTCTGAAATATAGCTAAGCTTAGTGCATTGAATAGTTGCAGAACTTCTATTCTCTAGCTTCATAATTCGTTCATGACTTTCATTCCGAACGCTGTTAGCTCAGTGTGTAATCAATATAGAGTTGTGTTTGATGCCCATGAGTCTCAGTTTAGATTACTCAGCATGTCTTAAACAGTTGAAACTTCAGTTCTCATAATCAGTTCATGAATACATGTCTCAGTCTAGTTTTATTCAGCATTCCAGTATCATGTAACTCAGTGTGGTTCAGTATTTCAGTATCAAGTATTGCAGTATGATTCTCAGTTCCTGATTTTAAATCCCTGAATGTTGAACAGCTGTATTTGGGCCTGAGGCCGCAATTTATGCTTTATGCATCTTTGGGCCTGAGGCCGCAGTTTATGCTTTATGCGTCTTTGGGCCTGAGGCCACAGTTTATGGTTTATGTATCTTTGGGCCTGAGGCCACAGTTTTTGGTTTATGTATTTAGATAAACAGGTGGTTCATCATTCAGAAGAGGAAGTATTCATATCCTTACTTCCTTTGTTTAGTTAAGTTATCAGTTATCATTTCAGTTATCAGTTATCAGTTATCAGTTATTAGCTATCATTTCAGTTTCAGTTTCAGTTTCAACAGTTATCATTTCAGTTATCAATTATCAATTCTCAGTTATCAGCTTAGTACCAGTTTCAGCATTTATATTTCTTTCTTTCAGTTGCTTTACATACCCGTGCAATTCAAATGTACTGACGTCCCTTTTGCGCGGGGCCTGCATTTCACGATGCAGGTAAAGATTTACAGGCTGACGATTCAGAGTGTTAGGATTCTCGTACCAACTATTTGGTGAGCCCTAGTTCTTTCGGGGCATTATCATTACTTTATAGTCTTTCAGTATTTACAGATAGTCAGTGTTTTCAGTACTTTATTAGAGGCTCCATAGACTAGAGTAACAGTTAGACAGAGTCACGGGCTTTTCATGTTAAGCAATGTTGGCTACATATATACTTCAGACTTATGTTAGTGTTTCCGCACATCGATTTATATCATTCAGACTTTCAGTATATTAGCATGTGTTAGTTTATCTTTCGCATTCAATATGTTATGATATCACATGTTGATTTAACCAGCCAGTTGGTTCGCTTGGTCACATGTAGTCAGGCACCGGGTGCCGTGTTACGTGCCCGAGTTCTGAGCGTTACAGAATTAGAGATAAAATTATTGAGAAATGTTATCATGTGTGAGTGACTTTGCTTATTATTTCATGGTGGATTATCAATATATAGTAATTTATGGAATAGATTTCTAATTCATACTGAATGATGTATTTTAATTAATCAAATCATTATGTAAATAATAAGTAATTATACTAGACAATATTATTGCTTTGGTATAACTATATATGTTACATTGATTTAAATCTTTAATATGTATGTTTACTTTATATTTTATATTTTAATTAAACTAAATAAAAAATAATAAAAGTCTCTTACAATAAATATTTAAATTTATTTTTCTCTTTAAAATAATTATAAGACCTTGGTACTATCCTTTTTGGTAATTTGACACTCAAAAGTACTTTTTAGAAAGATTGGTCAAACATAATTTGTTTACCAAATATTACAAAAAGTACTTAAATGAATTGGCCAAACACACCTTTTTTTTTCGAAAGTACCTTTGAAAAAAGCACTTTAAAAAAAATACTTTTCAAAATAATCAGTTTTTGGCAGCTTGGTCAAACGGGCTCTAAATATCTTCTAAGACAGCATAATATTCTACCAGTTTATGTGATAAAACTCCACTTTTCTCAAACATATAAAGAAGAAAGTAAAACCTAGTTGATTTTTGGGCTTCTCAGTTAAATTTGAGTATGTTTAATGAGAAGGGAATGAAAGATGTCTTCTTGTACTACATACATAGTCAAGGCCTCAAGTAACCTCCATCTGAATTAACCACCAGGTCAAGGCTTCAGAAGGCATTGGATATAAGGCACAAGTGCAATGTTAATAAAGCCAAAGCCAAATTTGTAATGGGATATAAGACAACTCTTTCCCCATCTACAGCTAAGGTATGGTACTAAGATGGCTCATGGATGCGTAAGAGTTCCAAAATATGATCCCAATCCACAACACCCGACTTTGATTTAACCGACAATTTCCTTTTATGCATTGCTTTTTTCATAGACAGAGAAATTGAAACTGAAGAGAGTTTATCTGAGAAAGCCTTTGGATCAAAATAACTAGCGTGAATAACAACTTAACAATAATCATCAAGGTTTCCTGGTCATTTGGAAGAGCCATTGAATGTTGGGGAAAGGAAGAAAAGGAAACATTGTTTTCAACCAAAGCTCGAGTTTTTGCCTCACCCTAGAAACAAGACATCTGTTCTGTGAAACATAAAATCAAGTTGATGCTCTTCATACCCTAAAATAGCAGCATCTGGTGCAGGTGTAGCAGAGCAGTTAACAGAGAATCTCAAATTTAACACATTCAAAGAAATATTACTACAAGTGCATGACCGAAGAAAGATCATAATACTATCCTAGTGCCGTATTGGCTATACACAGATCATAAGCAAATGTTCGGTGCCTAGGAGATTCTTACCAGCCATGAATAATCAGATACTGTTAGACCTCTAGCAACTCATAAGAGACAGTTTCAACAGAGGATAATAAATAGATATATGTTACATTTTCTCCATACCATTGAAAACATTTATACGCTGTTACCACAAGTTATTCCATCAATCATATATTCTGGTACGTAAGTACTCATTTCTAGGATATTGGGTGAAAGGATGCTTCGAGTGACTACTACGGGTCTTAGATTCTGACATCATAGATTTTGTTTGGTGGTTTTTCGGTCTTTTAGACTTTGATTGGTATTTTCCATCACCTTTTATGAGATAATCAAACATTGGCTCTAAGCACATGTTCTTTCATCTCCTAATGAAGCATTGATGTCAATCTATTGATCACAGTGCCAAGCAATTTTGATCACTTAGTAAGACAACTTCATACTATTCCTTGTCATGGACTTCAGACTGTCAGACATTCTCTTCATCTGCAAAGGTACATGAACATTGATTTCATAGAACACATAATTTAAGTCCACAGCTGGGAAACAGTAAAATTAAGAGACCTACCTTTTAATAGCTCTGCTGAAACCCAAGCAATCAGCAAGAGATGGCACATTGCATAGGTGATAGAACAAATGTGCACATGAGTTCAAAAATTTCTTGCCGGCTCATTGTGCAGCAAATTAGGCTATGGTGTACAGCATGCTTAACATTGCATTAATGGAAATGCAAACACTCCCAATAACAAACCTTCAGTAATGGCGGCTTCCATAGCAACAAATATTAAGCCCATCAGTTTTGCCATAGTAACAAAATTGTGTTAATGAGGATTATCATTATATTAAGCCCATCAGTTTTACCAACTATGGACTATTACTGGTCTGCTCTTTTACTACACTAGGATACTATAAAGTCTTTGGTTAATACTGAAGCAATAAATAGAAAAGATGGATACAAGTTGCAGTCTGTTCATCAATGATCTCTTGAAAATTTTAAGTGGAAAGGACAAATAATGGAGATGGAATAGTCTGGTGAAGAAGGCTAACTAATTAGAAGCTACCTAGTGCGGAAATGAGGACTAGACGTGCATGCTAGACATGGTGGTAGCCATCTATCTCCAACTCCTGTAATCACCCGGACTTATATTAGTAACTCCACAATCAATTTGTTCCTGAGAATCCCCTACTCACCATTCTTATAGCTAGCATAGATGACATATTTGCTATAGCCAAAACATGGAAATTAGATTGTTTTGTATCTTTTAAAGAAGAATCTACAATTTGTCTATCCTTTTCCACCTAACAAGCTGGAGAACCACAATGAATATGTAAGCGGATTGCTGGCTCAGTTTCAGCAGCATTACCAGCATGCTGCTTTTACAGCTACTCTTTGTGACCTACAGACAACTATCTGTAACCACAAAAGCTCTATAACCAGGTGCAATAGATGATGTTTCAATTAAAATATAAGAAATAACTTTTAAGCATTGAGGTGGCTGAAAAATAAGATATCTAAAGGGAAGAAGGAAGTGAGACAAGCAAATACAGGGAAAAGGGAAGGAAATTAAACTTTTTAAACTCCCACCAATAAGAGTACCCTCCCATCAGCACACTCCTTTACTAAGGCATATTTCAGGCTCATAGCAAAACAGGGAAAAGGGAAGGATATTAGTATGTTTTATACGAGGATTTAAAGTTTGCAGTTGTGTAAATAAACACACATACTACTCTAAACATGTCATACACAAGTAGAAAGAACTTACATAGAATCCTAATGTAGAGTAGTTACATGACAGAATCCTAAAATAGAATTCTACAGTATGATCCATGACAGAATTCACATAATGTCTTTGGCACAAGAAGACTCAATGGAACTTCAAAGCAATCTTCTAACACATCTCCAAAATCAATCTCTACTAGCCAAGCATCAAATTCTTGCTAAAAATGTTCTCTTAGACAGGTAACATACAGCTCAAGAAACCCCCCTTCCTTCCCCCAAATAAATAAAAAATCATATTTTTTAACAAGGAAAATGTAAGATAAGCTCAATATATTTACATAAATATCATAAATAAGAATTATGATTATCAAAAAATGAACACTTCATCAGTTTCACTACATCAATAACAGAATCAACCCCTTTTTTTTCCTTTTCTTTAGTGGTCAACAGATATGGATATTATACAACCAAAAAAAAAGACAAAAAAAAAACAGAAAACCAAACAGGGCAAGAAGGCAACTATTTTACAAAATAATTAGATTAGCTTATGAGGGTCAATCCGAATGTGAAGAAGAAGAAGAATCATAGTAATATTGAGGAGCTGCAACAGGAGGGGAAGCACCAACAAGATCCTCCTCGTCATAAAATGATGAAGATGAAGAAGACGCAGAAGAATTGTAAGAGTAACGGCGATAGTAATAAGGGTCAGGTGGGACACAAAGGAAAGTCCAAACACAAAGAGCTAAGCGACCCAATTGTTGAAGAGGGAAGCAGATGACCAGATCCAATAGCTGCTCGCTCTCAATTGGGTCTGGCAGACATGATAAGAATTGCCAAACTTCTGCTGATGTTTTCGCCACTGACACTAATAATACTCCGTTGAATGGCATTTTCTCTGATATCCAAAAACAATGAATTTGACTGTCAGATTTGTTTTTCCTTTCCTTTTTGGGTTTTCTAATCTTCCATGTCTGTTCTTCTTTGTATCATTTCGTCGAACAAGTTGGAATGTTGACCGTGGGTTGAGTTGGGATAAGGGGTCGGCTTTGAATAATTGTTAACTGCTTATTGGGGGAGTAGTTAATATTATTGCACATTCACATTTAGGGAAGATTTCTTCTATGATACTTTGCCATCATGATAGACTCCTCTACACTGTTTGGTTTTGCCAATGTGAAAAAATCGGCTTATTTTGATATGTACTTTTTTTAAAAGTGTTTTTGAAAAAAATACTTTAGAAGAAAAGCAGTTTGTATTTGGCTAATCACTCTGAAAAGTACTTTTGAGCAATAATTTATTTTTGGCCAAACTTTTCAAAAAAAAACTTTTAAGAATCAAATTACGAATAAGGACATGAATAGATTTATTTAATAGTTAATATTATAAGTAAATAAATAATCCCAAAAAATTATTATTACAAGCAATAATTAAATCTTTTTATTTTATTTAAGTAAAATATAAAAATAAAATTAAAAAGTACTTTAATTCTTTTAATATTATTCAAATATATTAATAATTATACATTAATATCCTAAGTATTAGATTTAACGGTTATTTTGGTATATACTATATTTTGTTAAGGGTATTTTTGGTAAGAAAAAAAGTCAAAACTGCTTCTACTTCTGCTTTTGGGAAGAAGCTATTTTTTCTGCTTCTTAGAAACTGGTTCTGCTTCTTCCCAAAAGCACTTTTTTTTTTCAAAAAAACTTGGCCAAACACCTTAAGTTAGGAGAAAAAAAGTGCTTTTGAAAAAATAAAAAATATCTTTGGCCTTTGGAGAAACTTGGCCAAACAGGCTATTCATTTGTCTTGTACTCCCTCCATCGCAATCAATGCCATTCTTCTTAATTTCAAGAGTTAAGTTTCTTAATTTTAATCTCCATTTTTTAGGTTTTTTTAAAAAAAAATTATATATTTAAAATTATATAAAAGTATTATAAGCCATAATAATCAATAATTTAGAATATTTAAAAGACATGCAAAAATCGCGTTCAAATAAAAACTTATTTGATTTTCAAATTTTGAATTGCACTACATAAATTGAGAGAGAGTAAAAGATATGCCAAGTATATCATTTGACTCTCAATCAACAATGTTATAACTGTATAATAAATAGGTACTTACCATTACCTTTTAAGTGATCATATTGCATTTTTTTTTTTATAGATCCGCATAAAATTTAAAGTCTAGAAAAAAACAAGGTGCCAATTTTGGGTTCGTTTGGTTATTGGTTAGAATTATGCAGGGTTTAGTTATGCATAATTTAATTATGAAGGGATTAGTTATGTAAGGATTAGTAATGCATGGATTAGTAATTTATAGATCGTAATGTAGAGATTATTTTTGTTAAATGTTTACTTTATTTTAATTACACAATGTGTAATGTAAAATAAATGTGAAGGTTTTTTTGGTCATTTGATTGCTTAATCTATGTATTACTAATACATGTATTAGTTATTCCACATTCTACCTTGCATAAATAGTACATACATTTATTATATAACTTATCCATATATTACTTATACCCCTAATATGTCACGCCCCAACCTAGGGGAGCGGGATTCAAGAATACATGATAAGAGATAGACAATGAGAGGATAAGAGGTACAACATCATATTTCATTACTTAAAGGAGCTTCATTGATAATGTAATGACCCAATCGATCATTTTAACTTTTAGAACCCCGTTCTCTAAAATAAAATTTCTCGTGTGTGCTTTTAATGATTTATGACTTGCGGGGATGGTTGGTTCGGGATTTGAAAGTGTTTGGGTTGACCGGAACACTTGGTTCCTTAAGTTGGCCTTAAAGTGCTAAATTTAACTTCGGTCAATATTTTGAGAAAACGACCCCCGGAATAGAATTTTGACGATTTCAACAGCTCCGTATGGTGATTTTGGACTTAGAAGCATGTTCGAATTTTTATTTAGAAGTCTGTAGTTAAATTAGGTTTGAAATGGCTAAAAATGGGAATTTAAGTTTGGAAGTTTGACCGGGGAGTTGACTTTTGATATCGGAATCGAAATCCAGTTCTGAAAATTTTCATAGCTCTATTATGTCATTTATGACTTGTGTGCAAAATTTGAGGTCAATCGGACTTGAATTGATAGGTTTCGGTACATAATATAGAAGTTGGAAATCTTAAGTTTCATTAAGCTTGAATTGAGAGATGATTCGTGGTTTTAGCGTTGTTTGGTGTGATTTGAGGGTTCGACTAAGTTTGTATGATATTTTGGGACTTATTGGTATAATTGGTTGTGGTCCCGAGGGGCTCGGGTGAATTTCGGACGACTAGCGGATCACTTTGGGCCTTTGGAACACTACTGATAGTTGCTGGTTTTTTCTTTTGGTATCCTTATACGCGATTGCGTAAGTTGGTTTGCGATCGCGTAGAGTAATTTAGGCAGAGGTGGATTTGTTCTACGCGATCGCATGAATGGGGTTGCGATCGCGTAGGGTTAATTTAGGCAGCTGGAAATTTGTTCACTGCGATCGCGTGGATACGTCCGTGATCGCGTAGGATTGGCCAGTGTGTGTATCGCGATCACGTATCATTGGATGCGATCGCGTAGAGTCAGAACCTGGTGCATCACGATCGCGTGGGACATGATGCGATCGCGTAGGGTTAATGTTTGGACAGAAAATTTGTGCTACGCGATCGCGTGAGGAAGTTCGCGATCGCGTAGAAGAAATCACTGGGCAGAGAGTTTAAGTTCTAAAAATGGGACTTCGTCCCATTTTCTATTTTTAACGATTTGGAGCTCGGATTTAGGAGATATTTAGGAGATTTTCAGATAAAACAACGGGATAAGTGTTCTTAACTCAATATTGATTAAATTATCCGAATCCATCACTATTTTTATCATTTAATTGGTGAATTGAATTGAAAAAGTTTGAAAACCCTCTTGGATAGATTTGAGGATTTGAGGGCCGAATTGTTGTCGGAATTTAGTGATTTTAGTATGGGTAGACTCGTGGTTGAGTGTGTGTTCATATTTCGTAACTTTCGCCGGATTCCGAGATGTGGGTCCCACAGATGATTTTTTAATTAATTTCAGAATTTTTATTGAAAATGTAGTATTTTCTTATAGAATTGATTCCTATAATTTTTAGTGATTGTATCGATTATTTTTAGATTCGAGCCAGACAGAGTTGGATAATCGTGGAAAAGGCCTTATAGTGGATTAAATTGGAGCAAGACGAGGTAAGTCTCTTGTCTAATCTTGTGAGGGAGAAATTACCTCATAGGTGATTTAAATTAAATAATTATTGCTAATTGTGGGGGCTACGTACGCACGAGGTGACGAGAGTCCGTGCGTAGCTACTATTAATGCTAAAGTCCGGGTAGTTTAGGACTCAAAGTATGAATTACTTGTGTAAATTGTATTCTTTATTTAATTAATATTATTTGATATATACATATATTGTGAATTGTTAAATAAAAATACTAAAGGATGAAAATCTCATATACTTGATTTTTTGTTTAAATTAATTAATTGTTAAGAGAAATTGTTCTTCCTCCCGAATTTATCTTATAATAAATATACTCTTCTTCCGGAGGTACATAATAAATGTCCTCCTTTCTTGTGGAGTGGGCCGAACGCCTCGACAGGATAGATGCATCTATGGATCGCGCCGCACGTCCCTCGGTAGTGTACACGACACTCTGGATCGGGTCGTACGTCCTCGGCAGAAATCGTGCTTAATAATAATAATTACACGATACTTTAATAATTTATTTCAACTTGCGAAGCTAATTGATAAATTGAAAAATCCTTGGAATTTAATGAATTATTATTCTTGCTTGTTAAAGAATTAATTATTGTTCCTGTAAATGATATTTAATTGATAAATTGGAAATTATTTGAATTGAAGGAATTTGATAATTTTCGCTGATTTAATAAATTATTTTAAATTCTGTAAATTATGCAGATTTAAATATCCTAATTGTAATTCAATTATTATTATTGACACTTAGTGAGTGTCAAAGTCGGCCATCTTGTCTCTACCACTTCGAGATTAGGCTTGATACTTACTGGGTACACGTTGTTTACGTACTCATACTACACTTGGTGCACTTTTTGTGCAGGAACTGAGGCAAGTACTAGTGGGGGGGGCTATCTTCTTACACCCACGTTATTCAGGGGCTTAGTGGTGAGCTGTTTCTCTGATCCGTTCTGCAGCTACTAGTGTCTCTCTTTGTATTTTTCATTCTGTCTATTTTTATTTCAAACAGTATTTAAAGTTTTGTATAATCTACTAGATGCTCATACACTTGTGACACCAGATCTTGGCACACATATTGGTAGAATTTGGGTTTTGTTATTTCTCTTAGTTTTAAATTTTGTTAATGAATGATTAATTTATTAAGTTGGCTTGCCTAGCCGTAGTGTTGGGCGCCATCACGACCTATAGGTGAAATTGGGTCCTGACAACATGGTATCAGAGCACTAGGTTCACTTAGGTCNATTACCTTTCTTCATATTCCATCGTGCAATTAATGTAGTACTAAATATCCTTCTCTTATTCTCTCACAGATGGTGAGAACGTGCTCGAATGAAGTTCTAGACCAGGAAAGAGCTACTCCCCCAATTGCTAGAGGCCGAGGCCAATGGAGGGCTCTAGCCCGTGGTAGAGGGAGAGGACGTCCCAGGACTGTTCCAGTTATGCCGCCAGTGGGTCCAGCGGAGAATCCCATTATTGAGGAGCAGGGTGAGATGCATGTGGCAGAGCCAGCTCCGGTGGATTTCACATTTTGCACCGGGATTTCAGGATGTCATGGGTCGTATGCTGCGGTTCATGGACAATATGACTCAG